GCAAGTGCAAGTGCCTCTGTCTCTGTCTCTCTCTCTCTCTCTCTCTCTCATGGGACTTGCCGGAGGGCCGTGGGAGGGCCGCATTTACATAGAGCAGGGAGGGCTGTACGAGGGCTGGATTAAACCGGAACGCGGGCCGCAAATGGCCCGCGGGCCGGACTTTGGACATGTCTGCTATAGGGTTTCCTGCCTGAGCAGGCGGTTGGACTAGATGACCTCCAAGATCCCTTCCAACTTTAATGATGATGATGATGATGATGATGATGATGATGGTGATGGTGATGATGATGATGATGATGATGATGATGATGGTGATGGTGATATTGCAATCTGCCTTTTGATGTGTGGGCCTGTGAATTCATTGCCCAACTAATGAACTAATATGACATAGAGTTTCAGTACCTGTAGCTATCTCTCAGTCTAGGTCACAGAATAGTTATGAAGATAAAATTGGGATTCAGGAACCACATTCTGTACCTTCTTGAAACCAAAGATAACAAACTTGAGCAAGTCTAGAGAGAGATTTATAACTTCCATAAAATATATATTTATATATGTTCATGGAAATGCTTACCAGCAGAGGATTGCAAAGAGTGGATGGTTGTATGATATGATTATCAAGTAAAAGAATTAGAAGATTAACACATGAAGGGCATCAGGTAGGTAGAGAGTCAGGAAATGGATAAATGTAGTTTCTTTCTTTCACTATTCCCTTCCTGACAGGCAGTTTAGGTGCCCCTAAGAAACACAGATGCACTGGATCAAATCAGCCATAACTCGTGATAGGAAACATATAAAATGGAAGCAAAGAATATCCACCAAAAGCTGTTCAAAGTAACTAAGGTTTTGCTCATTAATTTGACAAAATTGGCAAGTTGCAATGTACTTTTTAAAAACAGGAATATAGAAAGGTGCTTGAAACAAGTCAGTCTTCCATCATCAGAAGAATTAGCTCCATAATACTATACTCACCAAAAGGATGGCAGCTCTATAAATATTACAAATCTCTGACTATATTAGCTTCCTGATTGGGGTGAACAATAATCAAAAGGGAAGACACAAAGTCTTTCCTTTACACTGACAAACAACAGCTTTCCCAAGGCTTCAGGCAGGGCTTCATCTTTCCCAGCCTAATGTAGGAACAGACAAAGTTCAATTAATATTTTGTATGCAAAGCAAGTGTTCTGCCAGTGAACTATGGCTCTTTCATCAAAACCCACTTAGGAGAAGCATAGATACCATAATAATGTTATGCCATAACACTTACTTCTTAAATTCCTTGGGGGGGAGGAGATGGTTCTTATTTATTATAAGTGACAAAGTTGTTGACAAGCTGAATAAACTGTGACATGTCCAACATTGTCTGCACTGGATATTCATTGATAACGATGTCTTGGGGAGAGGGGGAAAAAATCCCTAAAGCTTACTTCATAAGTGCATACTTTATAAATGCACTCATTACTTCTTTCAGCTATTACCCCTGCCTAATGTTGGGTGTCTTGTCTTCACAATAACCAAAAACAGATTTAGTGACGTATTGAATAAACTGAAATAATTTCCTAGTTAAATCTCACTGATTTCAAAATTTGGATGTAGCTCTACAGCCTCAATCTCTGCACCTCTAGCACTGGAGATGCAAAAAATGGGGGTGGGATGGGGGACTCTGTTATATATATCAGTTCATATCCAGATTCTAAAAACGCCCAATACCAATAAGGCTCAAATACTCAAATGCAATGCCATACTCCCTCACTGCAATATTCGGAAGTACTGTTGCATATGTGGCTAAAACACCATCACTTGCACACAAGAAGTAGCATCTGGTAGGCACAGGGAGGAAGCACTTCAAAGGGTTGGGTAGGTGGGAGAGAAACCCTAAGAAATAGATTGTGCCACACAGGTCTCTAAAGAATTGGGTGCTCTGATTTGCAGGAGGGAAAACAAGCAACATTGGGAATTAAACAAAAGATCAAATGGAATGGTGCATCTTGAACAGAGAAACCCCTGGTGCAATATAATTCCATTTCCAAAATGAGAATCTTAGGAAACTTCAACAAGACTGGATGTGAGGACAGTCTTCCTCAGTCTGCACCCATCCAGATACGTTGGGCCACAATTTGCATCCTCAGTTTCCTCCCTGTGCCTACCAGATGCTCCTTCTTGTGTGCGAGTGATAGTGTTTTAGCTATTGAACAAATATAGCAACCATCTCCTGGTCTTCAGCCAGAAGTTCCCCAGCCAGAAGTTGGTGAAGATTGGTCTCCTCCTTCAGTTGTCTAAGGTCCAGGGTTAATTTCCTATTCCCTAATCCTATCGGGAACATTTATTTGGTCTTCCTCCCTTCCACTGCTTTCTCCTCCACCCTATAATCAGTTGATTTTCTAAAGCTCAGGAAAAAAATCACACAATCAGTGAGAACTATATTCACCCAGGAAGATACTTCAGGCTTTTGGAGAAAGGCAGAAAGAAAGAAGGCAGTTAAAAAACTTGGACTGGCTATCATGACAATTGTTGAACACGATAGAAAGAAGGAGAAATCTGAAGTTGTGAGGAAAAGGCATTTGCTGACAGGATGGGGAGGAATGGCTGCTGCACACCTGACTGCCCTAATTAACCACCAGCATGATGAATAAGAGCCTAGCTAAAAATATGCACAAAGAGGGAGAAGAAGAAAAGCAAGACGAGTTGCTCTTTGAGAAAGCTCAAGGGGAAGGAGTGGGGAGGAGGAAGAATGGGAGCAGGGAGAACCCAATAGGTGGATGTCTGTAAGAAACCTACTGAAACCACCCACTCCCATATTCTCTTTTGGTCTTATCAATTCCCTTCAGGGAACCCCTCCCTTGTTCATGACGTTTCCCATTTTTCACCTCTGCCCACACAAATTCTTTTATATCATCCATTCCTCAGATACTGTGTACATTTTTAAGTAACCAAAACATTTTACAACCTCCCTGCACTTATATTTTGGAATCAGGACAATTTTGAGGCCAGAGCACAGAAGAGATATGTGAGTGCCTTTCAACCATTTTTTTTTTTTTGCAAGCAAAAAGCAAGGGGATGGGTTCGAGAAGCTTTCTGAATCTTGAAGACACTATTACCTACAGAGCTGGTACTGAGCAGGCCAAGAGTGAAGCTCATGAGCTGTGAAAGCTCACCTTAATTAGGAATGTTTTACAGAAAAAACTAATCTTGCATATCCTACAAATGATCATTACTGCTATTACTATGTGCCTAGCAACGACGATAAGGCTGCAGTTATATCAAATTTCTACAGAGTTTGTGTTTCACAGTGAAAGCACATTATAAGTCTTGTCCAGCAGGTTATATTGCTCTCCTGATCTTGTCCATAACTCAATATTTATGAATACACAGTGCTTATATATGTAAGAATGATTCAGAATCCTTTCTACTACATTTCTTAGCCTGAAGATATCCCCAGTGCTTTTTCAGAAGTAAAATAGTGATGTTTCCCATGGGCACTAACCACAGACAACTTCAGGAGTGCAAACCAAACTTTGTGTTTAACTAATGGGAAATCTCTTCTGTAGATATGCAGAAGATATTCTGCCCTTCTTTCTCTAGTTTACATACCACTTGTAATCTGCCAATCAGAACTGTGCTTTCATTGATTAAATACTTTAGCTGGTCAGAATAGTACCTGAACATTTGCCCCATATTTTTGAGTTCTGTAAGAATTAGAAGCAAAATAGAAAAAAAAAATATTATAAACTGGGTGCCAGGAAAAATTAGCCTTTTTAAATTGGAGGCTTGGTTTAGTAGTCACTTTATCCTAATAATGAATCTGAAAGTGGTGTAAAATATAATTTCAACCTAGCAGTAGTTGTGCTAAAAAAAGTAATATCCCCTTGTGGTTGGTGGGGATTGTGAACTTAATCACAGCTTTTTTTAAATAAGTAGAGAAAGCTTCACCTCTTTCTGCTTATCATTTTAAAAGCTAGCAGGCATTAAAATCTTCTTCATGCCCCAATCAGCTGCTGCTTCAGTGGCATTTTATTTCTTTTATTATAATTAAAAATAATTGTGTCTTCTTCCTAAGCTTTGTAACACTGAACTGTAACTGTAACCAAAAGTGTTTTCAATGGGAGCAAATGAAGCAAATGAGGGCAATGCTCCCTTCCTCATTCTGTCTTCACTCCAACGGGACCACCACCATCTGAACGGTGCTCAGGAGGGATATCAACCAACGGAGCACAGCTGTGCTACTGTGTTCTTTTGTGAGCCTAGCTGGGCTCTCCCCACTGAAAGAGCAAAATTGTCTTTCATAGTGTGGAAATGTTTACAAAAAAATGTCCCCCTTCCTTTTGAGGCAACTATTATTATTGATTCATGAATATACAATAGCTGAGCAATGCAGCTGCATTGATTGACTGAATTGATGAAGTGCACCAAGCTAAAATGGTGCATTGAAGTATTGAAGAGCTTGATTAACCAAATGAGGCTGCTGAATTTTGTAACTAATTCAATTACAATGAATTTAATCACTTGAGCAATTTGCATTATTGGTCAACGTTTACCTTTTAACTCAAAAGCCTGGAATGCATCATTCAAGGGAACATCACTTCTCACGTACAGGAAGTCCTCAGCCTATAACCATAACTGTGACTAGACTTTCTGTTGCTAAGTAAGAGAGTTGTTAAATGAGTTACATCTGATTTTATGACCTTTCTTGCCATGGCTGTTAAGCAAATCACCACAGTTGTTAAATGAATCATGCAGTTGTTAAGCAAATCTGGCTTTTCCTCATTGACTTTGCTTGTTAGAAGCTGGCTGGGAAGGTCACCATCACATGACTCCAGGACACTGCAACCATCATAAATATATGGAGGCCTGAATTTGGATCATATAATCATGAGGATGTTGTGACAGTTATAAAGTACAAGGAATGGTTGTAAGACACTGTTTTCAGTGCCACTGTAACTTCGGTTGGCGGCTAAGTGAACGGTTGTAAGTCAAGGACTACCTGTCACAGCTCCACTTACCGAACTGGCTTCCATGATGTCCCGCCAGAGGGGAGCGTCATTGTCCCGCTCAGCAATTTCCAGCAGGTTGTCCAGGACGACTTGGCCAATGAGATCATGACGGGAGAAGCGGTCAAAGTCGTAGACACTGAAATGAAGTTTACGTGAGGGCAGTTCAGCAAAGGGGACGTTGAAGTTAAAGGTCTCATTGAAAATAGGATTGAGTGTTTTGCGATGCACCTTTGTTTGGTATTTCTTTTTACGGTCAGGCAGAAGGTACATTTTCACATAGGGGTCAGAGAATCCATTTGCATCTTTGGCAGGTAGGTCTAAAGCCCGGAGTATTCTGACCACCAGCTGCTCCGTGCCGTAGGCATAGCGGAGGGCAAAGCTCAATTGTCCACAGCTTGGAGCCTCCCCTTTCTTGGAGTCTGCCTCACCTGAGCGCTGTTTATACAGTTCAGGTTTTATCTGCCCAATGCTGGTCACTTGTTCCACCTTGTCTTCTCCTCCTCCTCCCCCACCATGGACTCCAGTGTCTGGGCTGCTCAATTGCTGGGTCACAGGACGTGGCAGTGTGTTGTACCTGGAGGGAACAGTAAAAAAAAATACAGCCAGAGAGACACATAACCACATGTCCATTACATTCACCCCACAAATCAATAACCCTCTGTCCAGGATAGAGTTACAACTGTCAACATCCTGGCTTTAAATTTTCAGAAGGGTAACAAATACTTCTTGGTCTACAGATTAACTTAAATTGGTTTAAAATTCAAATCAGTTAATTCATTAAAATCACTGAGATTTACATTATACACAATGCCATGGCATTCAGGGGATATGTTCTTAATGTAGCTAAATCTGGATCTATTGTCTTCTTAGTGTATAAAAAGATGCATCAGATTTACAGTTTTTGCAGATGAAATCTTGAAAAAAGCATACAAAAGCATGATGGCACCTGCTGTAACATGCATATTATCTGCCTTTCAAAAAGATAGCAGGTGCACTTTTATTCTTTAAAACCAAAATTGGATATACACTTGATTTAATAATTTGATTAAATGTGCATATAACTGTTTCAGTATGAAATCTTTAATTAGTACTAATTTTTCACTTCTTATAATACGGACAAGAAACAAGAGATAAGTGGAGAAAGCTTGGGAATTGTGATATGCAGATTCAGTTGAGAAGAACTGATTATCAGTTCTTCTTCCTTTGTTTATGAACCAGCAATAGGGTTATATTACAGTTGTGTGCCTCCTTATGCTACTGTGCTTTCTCTTTTTCCAAAGTCCCATTAAAAACCTCCAACACTAAGCATCTAGGAAGCTGAATGTAGTGAACAAGTGAACAGGCTACTTACCCATATAGCATATCTATGATTATATTCTGTAAGCCAAATTTTACTTTTTAAAGAACTGCATCTGTTAAAATCAACCCAAAACTTTTCAAGCAGCACTGAGTTCCAGAATACTATATAATACAGTGTTTCGCAACCTTGGCAACTTTAAGATGTCTGGAGTTCAACTCTCAGAAATCTCCAGCCAGTTGGTTGGGGAATTCTGGCAGTTGAAGTCCAGGCATATTGAACATTGCCCAGGTTTAGAAACACTGGTATAATGAGCCAATTATTTATGTGTGGGTCTCATGATGTCAGTATTGCAGTCACGAGACCCAGACTATCATCTGGCAATATGTGTTATTTTCATTGTTCTTCATATTTTCATTTTATAGATTGGGAATCTGGACTAAAAGATATTGACTAAAAGGCTCTTACCTTACTGATCATGCAGTTTGTGCCCTCATGCTTACAATTTAAAAAGATGTTACATAAAAGAAAAAAAAATGGGGCAGGAAAAGAAAAACAAGAATACTCAGGCACCAATTATTAATGTTAGACAGATAGCATTGAGTGTATGTCCTCTGTATAAACATCAACTGTACAGATTCAGCTTGGGCTCTCGCTCTGCAACCTTCCCTCCTCACAACTCACCTGGGAGTGGGTGCCAAGCTTGCTACTTGCTGGTGGGAGTGGGCATTGGGAATGCTGCCTTCCTTGGTACCCGTCTGACTTTCCACAGGGAGGTCAGGGGAGGTTTGGCTAACTTTGAGGTTGGCCTCGGGATAGGAATCCATATCGAGGTACGATCTCTCAGGCATTTCGGGACCCAATTCTACCCGCTCAGCCAGGAGATCCCCAAAAGGCGAGTGGTGGAGATGGGCATGGAGGAGATGCTCCTTGCGTTGGGTTTGTGATGAGGATCCTTTATCCCGCCAGGGGATCCAACATAGTTTCCAAGAGACGAAAAGGGAGACGCCCAGCAGCACAATCCCGCAGAAAGTCACAATCACAGACAGAAGGCTAACCAGGATCTCTAGAGGAGAAAAGTGGAGAGGCAGATACCATAATGAAAGATCAGGGATAAGTTGCCTTTTGTGGCCATCTGTCATCTTGGATAGTTGAGCTATCCTCATTCTACTGGCTGTTGGAGAGAACCTAGAACCCTGGACTAGCAGCACCAACTGCCAGTGGGCAGAATACATGACAGCTCAACTCTTTCTTAAGTAGTACCATCAAACTGTCCCTGAGTCCCAATTCTGCCCTATCCCCCCATTAGAAGTAGACCAACCTGACTATGTCATGATCTGCCAAGCATTGGAAGTGGCATCCATATAAAAAGCTATGCACCCTTTATTTTTTGATTCCCTTTCCAGAGATTTTTAATTGGACACTAATTATAAAGCCAGTCTTAATTAAGTGTGAAACTGTAAAAAATACTTTACTGAAGGGAAATAAGTCCCCCCCCATAAATTCTACAGTTCATTGGGATCAGTACTAAATATAAGCATAACCATATTATAGTTTCATACCAAAATATACTTGTCATTTACATTCAATAAATGCGCCACATTCATTCCTTCTATCTTACTATTATATATATATTCACTGTTTATACTCAAGTTTCCTAGTGTTGTTGGTACCTAAGAAAAATCTCTTATGGTTAAATAAATTTTCACAGATACAACCAAGAATAGAAAAAACATTTCCCATTAAATCCTAATTTAAAGACTATTTAAAGCTCAGTGGCACAGACACATATATAGAATTCTCAATAAATACCATAACAATTGCAATAAATACATATGTAATCAAATTATATAATGGTTCTTCCACTTGAATATATTTTCCACTGCACAACATGAGTGAATACATTTAAATTGCTTGATTCAAAGCATTTCCCAAGAAGACTCCAGAGAGCATTCAGGATTTTTATTGTAGCAAATGTGATAAGAATTAGAATGCAAAAGTAGTTCAAATTTTCAAATGATCCCACAAGATTCATCAGAATATCTTTCTGTCACATAGAACTATAAACCAACATACAGGCATATTTTAGTTATTTACTTGTTCATATAAAATATTAATTTAATACTGAGACCTCTATGCTACTTCAATCCAGCAACATGTCAACAAGACCCATGAACTAGACCTAGGCCATAAATTTTCATCATTCTATTCTGATTTCCTCTATAGATATGTCGATATTATACATCAAGATTCTCACCTGTGTTGATGGGACCCACATGTCCTGTCAGTTCCTGGCACTTCTCACGCTCCTGGGCAGCACATGTGTTGGAACACAGCACATGAAGGAGCTCCATTGCCTTGCGATGCCTATCCTCATCATAATCTCCTGACATGATGCCTAAACAGCAAGTATTTTGTTGCATGTTAAAAATGTCATTACATATGACCTTGGGCCATGGTGAAATCTGCAATGCAGGTTTCCTAGCAATAAGGCCCCTGCTGATTCTTATTGCTACCTGAACTTTGGGGTGTCCTTGCCAAAGAACTGAGACTCAGTCCCTGCTATCTTCATTGACCAGGTGAGTCACTAAGAGTCAGAGGAGGCTATGTTGAATTACATAATCAAACATGCTGACCTTGTTTTTTAAAAAAAATCTTCACAAAAGTGCATCTTTTACTTGAGGGGGCTCAAAAATGTCTGGGTGCCACTTAGATTCTGCTATCTTCTGCATTTATTTTAATCACTGAGGCTGAAGCTGAAACAGACTCACCCCTCCAGAATAAAAAACAAAATGTCCTCCATATCCCTGTCTACTCTGGGAAAAACTGGAGCTTCAGTGGTTGAAGTAGGCACAAAAATAATATTGGGGGATTACTGGAGGAACAAGACAAGAAGCAAAATATATCCTGTATCAGAACTCTTGAGATACAATTGAGGACCTGACTACCTTAACAGAAAAGCCATTTTCATATTTACTTTACATCAGTTGAAACCTGATTCATATTGCCAAAGACTAAAGCGGATAGCATGTGCAAAATGCATGGAAATTACAAAGCAGGCATGGAATGTCTTTATGTAGCTTTGGGTGAACAAGGATTGAGCACCAACCTATATCTTATCTATCAATGTAGGCAAAAGCAGGATCTCAACTGACCAGCACCAAATGCAAGGGAGAAATACAGTGGCACTGGCTCAAGGCCCAACACTATTGCATTATGTCTCCCCAAAAAATAATTACCTGGGAATTATCTTAGGTTGGCTGATCAGAGGCAGACCAAAGTTTGAGTGTGAATCCGGATTTACTTGGCTAAAAAGGGATTCTCAGTGTGCTTAGGTCTGTGACAGTCTTTCAGCCTAACATTCCAGATGCTGTTCTTGGATGGTGGAACAGGCAGGCAAAAGTGGAGAGGAAGCACATAAATGGTGGAGCTTTGGGGACAAAATGTGAGACAGAAGCATGAGGAAGAGGGCTGCCAAGTGCATTGGTGCTGGCTTACTACAACTGGAAGTAAAATGTGGTAAATCACTGGTGAAATGATATCCAACTAATATCATTGGAGGCAATGAATATATCCTGATGCATTCCAAGGAAGGAAGGACTTTGGATAGACTTAAAACCACAAGACATCAGCCTTGGCTGATGACCAGTCACAAGAACCACATCATAAAATAAGCCTGGAGAATGTCAATATCAGGACATTTTTTCAAACTTACTAGTAAAGCAATAGACATTTATAAAATGCAAATAATTCCAATAGGAAGGAAAGTTATCAGAGGTATTCAGTTTGCTGAGGATACTCTCTCCTTTAACATTACCCATATATAAAGACGTAACATCTGTGGCTAAGCTCAGTTTTAGATATGCTCCAAAGGGGCCAGCAGCATGGCTAGCAAAGCAACAACTCAAATTCATTGTCTCACACAAAGAAGGAAGACATTCCACCAAGAAATAGCAGCCATGAATACCAGAAATATAAATTATCTAAATACACCACTGACTCTCAGGCTGAGTTCACTGCAGGACTCCCAGCCCATCTTACAGTTACCTCAGTCGCCTATTTTAGCCATTGAATTGTTTAAATAAATGCCCTCCCAAAGGAGAGCGGGCAAGAGATTGAGCATGCAAACAGTGCCCCAATCTTCAACGTCAATGTACCTGTTGGCCTTGGCTGCCATATGTTTGGTACATGAGTGATTCATGGCCAGTTTGTGCACCAGCTAATGAACATGTGGCCAACAAGTATATAGGGAAGATGATAAATCGGGATCTTCCCATTCTTCCTACTTGTACAACCCAATGTAAAAGAGCGGCAGGATTCATATATGCCATAATGCGATTTGTTTGATTTTGTCTATTAGGCATACCAATCTATTGTGATCTATCAAACATGGTTTATATAATACATTATGAGAAGCTATCTAATTAGCATGCTCTATGCATGGCTTACTGTGATACAGGAACTATGTTTGGAAAGGAGGATTTATTAACCCATGGCAGCTAATACCTTGCAGTAGCATTTCAAAAGACTACTAGCATTACTGTGATGAAGAGGGCTCCAGAGTCCACAAACATTTATGCCATAAAAATTCATTAGTCGGGCTGTCTAAGGCAGTCTGTGTTTACCAGAGGCCTACCTGTTCTAGTTTTCAGTAGTTAAGAAGCTGGATCGGGGTAAGGTGAGCCAAGTATAAGTGTAGCCTTGGCCAACAAAACTTAATGGGTGACTTCAGGCCAAGCCCCTCTCAGCCTTGCTTATCCCACAGCAAGCCTGTTTTGACGGGTTTGAGGAAACATGGAAACAAACAAATAGATAACCCTAATTCCTAGCTGGAATATTATGAGAGCTGAATTCCAATATACCTGGAAGTCATAAGCATTGAAAACATTGCTCTAAATTCTACAAGATTTGTATGTGTCTGGAGAGAGGTTAAGTATTTTCTGAAGGAGCTTGCGGCAACTGGTCATTTAGGCTTCAAGGTACTTGTCAGCCAAACAAGGAGCTAGGCTAAAACCTAACTGGCAAGGTTTTTAAAATGCAGGATCCTGAGCCTTTTGAAAGAGAAGGTGTGGTGATTGATAGGGAAACATAGACACGCTGACCTCTCCTTCTCCCCCCATTACTCATACTGTCTCTCCTTGATTGGGCCCAGAGGACAGCAGTGCTGGCAGCTGCCCTACATACACTAACTCAAATGCAGAGAGGGGATTGTTCAAAATTGCTATAAAAGATAAAGGTTATAGGTTTGGGAGCTGCTCCATACATTCCAATTCTTATTGTCCAATCCTGACAGTTCTAATTTTAGGAATAAAGCCTTTTTTTCAGCATTTTATTCCACAATGCATCTATTTTTATTCTTTTGTTTCTTTTTCTTTTTTTAATAATAAGAACAATTATGCAGACTGGAAACAGTAAAACAGCAACCACAAATGACCCATGGATAATATATATATAAAAGACAACAAAGGGATGTTGGTACAACAACACTAATAATAATGTCATTAATATTATTAATAATAATATTCAACCTTCAACCTATCCCTGAAAACTATGTAAATTTCTTTTGAGATAAGAGAAATAATTAGAAAGAGTGGAGGGAAACCTTAAACAAATAAGGGGAGATTTTCAAAATGCATCTCCAGAATTAGCACTACTAATTACTGTACAGATACTGATAAGCCAAATCTCCCCCACTCCAAATCCTCTCTTGATTTCCAGAACTATAATAAAGAACCTTGACCAGACTTCTTTACAATTAGTAATAAGGATCAATGTCAACTATTTTGTGAATCCTTTGAAATTCTCTGCCCCCTGTTCAAAATCTCACCTGGTCAGCAAACTGGATCAGTTGATGGCTGTCAAGTTGCTTCTGTATTGCTGGATCCAGGATGCCAGCTGACCCAGTCAATGCCAGGCAGCAGAAGAGCAGGAAAGCAACCCAAAATTTCTGGTGAATTGAGTCCATATGTGAGAGGCTACAAGCTGGAAGTAGGACACTGGATCTGCCATCCAGGGCACTGCTGAGTCCACAAGTTACAATTTGTTGTGGTGGTGGAGGACAACCTCCCCCTCCGCCAGATGCTGGATGGAACCAGTTGCTGAGATCAAATGTGATTGTGAGAAGGTTTCAATGTGTATGGCCGGCTTTACAGTGTCTAAACGAGATAACAGATCTCCAACTCAGTTCTGGGGGGTTCTTCATTATTTTCTAAATCCTCCATGAAATTGGTTGCCTGCAAATTAAATCCCTGCTATTGCCAGTCTCTTCAGTTAGGTGGCCAACTGCATGAATTTGGAAAAAAAAAGATATCAGATATGGACTCCTGTTCTGCTTCTGCTATTTCTCATCTCCTCATTCAGCCAGTCTGTAATTCTAACAGAGGGGACAAGTATATAAATCTAATTTCTGGGTCATGCTGCACTTAAATATATATATATATATATTATGCCCTCAGAGTGTCACAAAATGCTATTAAAGGGAAGAATATTTTCTCCTTACTCATTTTGGGTTTGCTCTGCAGTTCACAGAAGCATTGCTGGGGACTCTGAATTATTCATCTTTGCCAAAAGAACACAAATATGGTTTTTATGGGGGGGAGGGTCAATAATGTCACTTAAAGTTTCTATATTAGGCTAAGCAAAGTAAGCATAGTAATTGTTTATGTAGCAATCGTTATAATCCACTCCCATCCATACAGATTCTAAGCAGTGAATATTAGTCAAAATACAATCCCTCCCCAATTAAAATAATTAATACTCAACTAATTATGGTGGTCATCCCCCCCAAAAAAGCCTAAGAGCCAGAAACCTGTTAAAATAGTATGAATTTAACTTGCTTCTTAAAAGTATTGAGGGTGCCAGAGATGAAAGGTTCTATAAAATGGGGCCACCTCCAAGAAACATACGGTATGTCATATTCAGATTCAGGATTTTTTAAATGGTAAGCTTGGCAGGGATGGCTAATTATATTTTACATCAGGCCTATTCTAGGTTTATGTTATGTTTCCTGTACATTTTCTACGATTTTATTAGGTAGTGTCAGAGAAATTCTTGGGGCAACCACCCAAAAATTATTCAGGAGCCACATGACCTCTTGAGGTCAGAGCTTACAGTTTCTACTACTCGTCTTACAAAGGGGCAAGGTGAACAGTAAAATCCCCAAAACACCTTGGTTAAAATATAAAGTTCTGGAAAACAGCTTGAGACTGTTTGGGGTTTTAATTCAGATTCTTCTGGAAACCCACAAGCTTCCTACAGGAACTTATGGCTAGGATTCTTGGATTCTCTACAACAAATACATATTTTAGTAGATTAGGCTATAGAAAGAAAAAACATTGATTATTCTGGGTAGGAGCAGGATAATTTGAGGAGAGATGAAACTTTGTACCTACTT